GACAAGACTTTCAGGGCCTTTTTTTGTATCGGCCCATGTAACACCTTAATCCGTCCAAGTCTGCAGCCCCTTTCGGACTAAAGTATTTAACTTGGTAATCGTAAAAATTTAAAACTTTTCAAACACTTTTATTTATCAGAATAATATTTTTCATAACATATACAGTACAGAGTATTCAACAATATTGTGGAAGCTTAACAAATCATAATCACAATCATAATCAAAACCATCACATCCATTCCGACAATCTCGCCTCCGTCTGCCTCCAGGATCACGTCACATCATTCTTTCTATTAACCTGCGTGTAGCAAATAAAACATACTACACGCTCAGCGGTAAAGCTGAGTAAGCATATCTAATGCATCGAACATCCATATAAATTGAATCCAAATCCATAATCGAATCATTTGATATCATGCACATAATGTTCAATTCAGATATTCAATAATCAATATTCAATTTTCAACATTCATTATTCAATCATTCAACATGTATATTCGTCATTCATAACCAACATTTTTATTCAACATTCGTCATACAATATTCATCATTTGTCATTCAACAATATCTTTAAACTATTCTTAGTCTAAAGCCAATCTGTCTGATGTTTACCAACTCTTAAACGAATTCTAGTTTAATATAGATAAACTATATTCTAGTTTAAGGTACTTTTAACCAACTCTTAAGCTAGGTCATTAGTTTAAGGTACATATTTTCCGACCGATTTACCAACTCTTAAACTAGCCTTCGCTTAAGGTACAAATCCATAAAACTGAACAGTAGAATATTAACTGTCGCGTTGGGTGGTATCCCCAAACAAGTTCCTCTAGTTTGGTTTGTAGATCCCGTACGTACGTTTTAACTCAGGCCACCGAATATTCATAATTATACCCGCAAGGCCTATTTCTAAACTATCTTAGAGGTCTTCTAGATAGTCTTAGAAACCAACGTCAACCTAGGTATATCTTAGAGTTCTTCTAGATATCCTTACAATCCAAATCATTTCATAATCATAAACATATTCATTTCAATTCATAATTTAATCCTCAATAATCATTTTAATCAATGGTTTCATCAAGTCATAACCATAATAATCATTCATCATAATCATCAATCAACATATCATTCGATAGCAAATAGCGGCCTAGCTTCTAGTGTTAACACCCGAACTTACCGTCATGCATCACATAACATTTTTATTTGTTAAAAGGATCATTTTTTATTGTGGTAAATCATTTTTATAATGATCATAATCAATTGGTATCAAAAATAAGATTTTAGAGCTCAAAAATAGCAATTTAAGGCAAATTTTCGGATCAGAACTTCGGGGGATCAATCCAGCCCTCTGGATCGATCCAAACTATGAAAAATCACTCCCAGGGGATCGATCAAAGCCCCTGGATCGATCCAGACAGTGGTGTTTCAGCCACTGTTCATCTTCTTCTTTGTTCGGGTCCAATTTCGGAAATACCGTTTTTAGTTATCGAACTTCAACGAAACTATATAGAGATGTTCTCCAAGGTTCATAGATCATTTTGGAATCATTAATTCATAGTTTTAACATCAATTTCATGGTTTATGATTCTTGGTTCTTCAAGCATGTCAAACACAAAACTCAACCAAACGACCGTTTATGAACGTATAAACGATCTATACGAACATTCTAGTCACTAGATATATCTACGGGCTTACCTCGAAGGTAAATGAAGGTTTTGGAAATTTTCCGGTGAAACTTCCGACGATGATAGCTCTCAACTTCGGTGACCTCACACCAAATTGACAGCACCACTGCGTTCTCCACACTCAAGGCTATCTCTCAGATCGAATTTGATGAAGAATGGTGAAGAAATGGTGAAATTGGGTTTCTTATATAGCAAAAGAATGGAGGAAGAGGCGAAGGTGATGATGTATCCGTTCCTGTTTCGGCGTCTCAGTGGAGGGGGCTGCGGTTCCTACAGATTTTAAACGTAAGTCCCTGATTGGGACTAATTTGGTCCCAGTCGGGGAAAACTTTTTGGTCCAACTTTCCCCGAATTGAATTCCGTTTGCACCGTTGTGATCGTACAGTTAAACTCTATCCAACGATATAATTTTTATATTTATTTGTAACACTTTTTCTAACATCATATTTTTGGGTGTTTGACTTTGACATAGTCAAAATTGGTTTAATTTACCTTTCTCATAAAAGGTTCTCTCATTTAATTCATATCAATTATTCTCATGATTTATTTTAAGAAATCATTTCAATATTTACATTCTAAACAAATTCTTTATTTACTCTCGATTTGGGTCTGTACTCAGGTTCCTAATCAAGACCACACAAATAGTCCACATACTGGATTTATCTCTATGAGACTTATCCAGATTTTGATATTGGATGTCAAAACACATTTCATATCGGCCCAAAGCCCAACAATAATTTATTTTAATCAAAACAAATTTGATTAATTGATTATTTATTCATTAATAATTCTAGGGTATGTTTTGGGGCGTTACAGCCCAGCCCATTGAATTCTCAGGACCGGCACTGAACCTAGTTGACACACGTATTCAGCCTAGTCATAATCTAGCCATGTCTTGAGGTGTCGAGATATGTGAACCTACGAAGTATCGAAGACAGGTTTGTTGTTTTTTGTATCTTCACATTCCTCATCCAGATATCTATTTCTTTGTTCATGTTCTGTCACATTCATGCACGCTTCATGGCTTGACCATCTTAATGCCACCCTGCGTGTGATTCAGTACTTAAAGGGGCATCCTGGTCATGGTTGTTTTTACTACGTAGTGACAATAACCTCATTCTTACAAATTCTTGTATGGTTACGTAAACTTGAAGAGAGTGCTATATATTTGCAAGTTGCAGAAATTCTTATATGGCCTCAAACAAGCCCCACGTGTGTGATACACACACCTCTCTTCTTTTTGCAGGTCTTAGTTTCCGTTGTTGCACTCATGAAACCGGTCAGTTCACTCTTTATTGCACTCAATGAACAAACATCATTCTGGTCTATGTTGATGATATTATCATCATAGAAAGTTCTCCCGCTCTGATTTCTGAAATTACTCAGGCTACGCATTGAGACTTCCTGTTGAAAGAATTTGGCCCTTTGCATTCTTTTCCTTGGCATTGAGGTGGAGCGCACCGAGGTAACTATTCTCCTCCATCAAAAGAAGTACGCGGTTAATCTTTTCTAACGGGCAAGAATGTCAGAATGTAACCTTGCACTTACTCCTATGGCAGCCCAAGCTGTGGTCACGCCATCTACACCATCCAGGGATCATACTCTCTTCCGTAACATTTTTGGTGGTCTGCATTATTTGGATGTTACTCGTCAAGGTATAGAGTCTGCTATTAACCGAGTGTATCAGACTATGTACAACCCAACTACATTAATACAAAGTCATTTTTGTGGTGTTCCAATGCACAAGGAAGTTAGATACACTAGGACATTTTCCATAGTGAACAAAAAGCATGCACATGTTCTGAAGAACTCTCATGCCACTAGGACTGTGTGGCAAGACTCCTGATGGAACTAAACTAGGGCTACGGGTAACCCTATACATTAGCTTTTAGCCTCTAAAAAAATTACATTGAATACACAAGTAAATGCGAGAGGCTACAAACATTTGTGAGTTCACAACACACCTTGGTTCATTACTAGAACCTAAGAGCGTCGTTGCTAATGAAGGACATCCTGCATAAATATCCTTTGGTCATGTTTCATCCACACGTTGAGTTATTTCTCATCTGGAAGAGGGCTGGGAACACGTCTTCGGAGAAGGTGTCGAAGGTATAAGAAGCCGTTGAAGAGGCTCAAACAGTGTTTTATTACACCTTCTTCCAAACCTTCTAGGCTCAAACATATCTCGAAGAAGGTGTAATTAAGGATTACTTTTGAATTAATGTGAAACAATTGGGCCAAGTATGAAATAAAAAGAATGTATTCAATAAATAAATAATTCTATCTCACAAACGATGTGGAATTTGAAGTTGGCACAAAATAAAAAAAAGTTCAGAAATTTACTAAGATATGAATACTCCCTATGCCCCAAAAAAGAACATTACAATATGCAAAATTAAGTGAAATTTTTAATTCTTTCAATTCATTTTATTTATAGATTGGTACAGAAATAAAAAATAAAAGTTACATATTCAAAAAATAAGTCAATGTTCTACATAACAAGATGTGATGAGAATACTTTATTTATCAAATAATCATTGGAAACGTATAAATAAATAAAAGTTCTCATAATTTTTGAATAATAAATTGTGATATTTTTTGGACGGGAGAGTATTATGACATGAAATGACCATTGACTATGTCACCCCATAAAAATCTTACCACTAAATTTAGCTTTTTAAGAGGCCCAAGTAATGATTATTTCACTTTTGGAGTATTAAATGCCAATTGTCCATCATTTAGTTAAATTTGAAACCAACAAATTATGCATTTAGAAAAAATTTGACAAAATAATACTTCTTCCATTCTAAACATATTTTTCGTTCACTATTTAATGAGTCAAATTTAATCCACTTAAATAACTTATTTTAGCTAGTTATTTGGTAAAATAATATAATAATATTACGTCTAATTTTATAGATGTTTCAATATAATTACTTTAAAAAATTGAAAAAATAATTTCAATCAAATATCCGAAAAATGTTTTGGAAGAAATGGAGTCAATAAGAGTATCTCCAACCATATCATTTTAACGTGCTAAAAGTTATAATATAACTAGTTAAACACTTTTGTTCTTTTCCAAAGGGCATGCTTTATTTTAGCAAGTTTGCCAAAAAATGAATTTGATTTGCTAAATATGACAAGTCTCTCAAAATTTAGCTAGCAAATACTTAAAAAATGAAATAACAAATAATGGTCGGAGAATAAAGCAAAAAAATGTTTGTTATATCAATGTAACATTTAATAAGGTTATGCTCTAACATGAGTCAAAAACTCTTCTCCGAAGAATCCGAAGTTTCTATATTACGCTATCATTACCCTAGGTCCGTTATTGATAGGGGAAAGCCGGCTTAATCTTCACACGCTTTTGTCTGAACGCAAAATTTCAAAGCCGAAAGGTTAGGTATGAGCTCTTTCCTCTTTCTCTGAATTTTAAATCTTCAAACCTGAATCGAAATTCCATCTTCTCGCCGTATCTCAACTTGGATTAGGGAAAACTATTGCAATTGAGGTTTGACGTTTAGTTTACTTTGCGGAAGAGAGGAAAAGAAAGGTTTGTTGGTGGAGATAGATTTGAATTTTTGAGGCATGAAATGATGATTCCTGCAAGATTTGTATGTACGATATGAAATTTAGGTTTTGTTTGCTCTAATTTTGATTTCTCTTTGCGATTTTTGGATTACTCTTTCATCTGAATTCTGAACAAAACCTGTTATAAAAAGCAATGGAAATAACATTATAATCGAACTGTGGATGGTTTTTTTTAACATAGTCCTTGAATAATCCAATTTTTGCTGTATGAATCTCAACCATGGGGTAGTAAATACCAAATCGGAATAGAATCAATTTCTAGCCTCCTTGGTTTGTTTAGGTTTGTATTTTGATTCAATAGTTTGGTAGATTTATTGGCATGTGTTCTCAGAAAGATTTTTTGGTAATTGGTATGTGTTTTGCTTTCTTTGTGGCATTCGAATTCGATGCATCTGGGTGAGCATATTAAACTATTTCGGGAGCAATTCTCTGGCAATTCTGGTTCTCAGAACACTTTGATATTTATAAATACCCCCCTAGGCATTCTGTTTGCAAACTGTAAATTTTGCATTGCATAATCTGATTGAATTGCGATTTTCTTCACGTAATAATCCAATGTCAAAGGTTTCCATGTGTACTGGATAAATAATGAACATAATCAATTGCAACTTTTGAAAAACTAGTTAGGAGGAGCATCTGGTCTGCATTTCATGGATAGTGGACTATCGGGACAGCAAGCCTCTTCTGAGGCGGCTGCACGTGAACTGCTTATTGACATCTCCAACTCTTTGCCAGAAAGAGCTTCCAATTCAGAACCCGCTGAAAATTCAAACACGGTTCCTGCTGCTGACCCAGTGATTAACGGGGATGGGGCTGATGTACTCAGGTCTATGCTAATTGCAATTTCGTACGACAGTTCTCCAGATGATGGCCGTATTTGTAATGGTCATGGATGACCGGTATGGTGCGCGCCAATGCTTGCTATGGAAAACTTTGAATAAGGGATTGCCTTTTCTGCTGTTAAATTTGATCATTGTTACAGTTGACTTCTAAGTCTTGTGCTCTACTCTAGTCAAGCAGGCCAGAAAGGGGAAGACCAAATTGTATTTTTAAACTTTGTTTTTTTCTCTCTTGGAGTGTATGTATTATTGTTCCATTTTACTTCCTTCTCAGTGACACCCCAAGTGCAGGAAGATCATGTGTGAACCCTTAGTTTGGGGTTGTATTAAGTTTTCTTGCACTCCTGTTTATTTCAAACCTTGAACCAATCAAACACAATTTGTGTTGCACCTCTATACTTTTTGAGGCATAAATATATGACCTTTGTACCAAGTAGTGCACTTGTATATTTGTATGTTGTTTTTGTATTACTTCATATTATTATTATTATTATTATTATTATTATTATCATTATCATTATCATTATCATTATCATTATCATTATCATTATTATTATTATTTTATTATTATTATTATTATTATTATTATTATTATAAGGGGTAATAGCATCGACGTCCCACGTGGTTTACAAAAAGGGTACCAAAACTCCTATTTTCAAAAGTTATTTGTAGAATCCCTTGATTTATAAATTGGAACAGAGGCCCCTTAACCTATTTTAAAATATACTCTGTAAATGACATTTATGTCTTTTTTCTCCCTATTATAAAGTTTCACTCTTTTATTTTCAATTTTCCTTGTTTAAACAAATACTCCGTAATTAAGAGAACATACGCGCTCTCCATCCCAAAATAAATATTTTCATTAACTTATTTTTCAAAACATAATAAGTTTTTGGAGAATGTTACAAAGGAAAATGAAAAATATACAAATGAAATAAAATACTCTGTACGGAGTAAAAGAAAAGAGAGTAGAAAAAGATAATGAAAGAAAATGAAAAAAACTACCTATTTTATTTCAAGTAAAAATGGGATAAATAAAATAAAAAATAACATAATTTTTTCGTCCCAAAATGTTTTTCGTACTACGCAAAACGAAGAAAAATTTTTAAATTTTCCAATCCATTTAAATGAGGCACCTTTACGACAAGAATATATTAAAGTGACAAGAATATTTTATTTTATCAAATAATCGACAAAGATATACAAAAAAACCTAAAATTCTTGTAATTTTGAATAGAGTGTGACATTCTTTTTGGGATGAAGGATGTAAACTCACTTATTTACTTATTTAGTTTTTAAAATTAAAACAAATTTTTTGGGATTGAAAAAAATGAAGAGTAGAAAGATAAAATAAAATACGGAGTAAAAGAAAAAATAGTTTTTTTATTTTTTCTATCTTTTTCATTACCTTTTGTATCCTTTTTTCTTTTACTTCGTATAGAGTATTTTATTTCATTTTTATTTTTTTCATTTTTGTAACGTTCCCCAAAGAATTTTTTTAAAAAAAATAAATGAATTTTTTAAATTTGAGATGGAGACATATATGTTATTTTATTTATTTGTATAAACAAAGAAATTAAAAGTGAAAAACAAAAGAGTGAAACTTCATGATAGAGAGAAAAATGTGCATAAATGTCATTTTGAGTTTTATAATAGGTCAGGAGCGTGTGTGCACCATTTAGAAACTATAAGGTTTTACAAATAACTTTTGAAAAGAGAAGTTTTGGTATCTCTTTTGCAAATCAGAGGAGCAACCGTGCTATTAGCCCCATAATTATAATGAATTCTGCATTGCAATAGTGGTTGGTTGACGAGATGGTGCAAAATAAATTAGTTTATTTTAATTAATTAGTTCTATTATTAAAGTTAATGAAATAAATTGACTTGTTTTATTTGTGAGGGTCGAAAGTCCCATGTGGAGGAGTAGTATTTTGTTTACAATTCTACAACTTGTTACCCAATTACATTGGGAATAATGGAATATGGTTTGCTTCTGGGGGACCAAGTAATTAACCTAAGACTTTGTGCTTTTCGGTTGGAAAAATAGAGTTGTATGTTGAAAAAAATCAAAAGAGTTGGAAGAAACTGGAAGATATTGGAAAAAATTGGAAACAGTTGAAAAAAACTAGAAAAAGTTAAAAAATAAATTAGAAGGACTAGCTAAAACTCGAAAAAGTTTGAAAAACTGAAAGGAGTTTGAAAAAACTAGAAAAAGTTAGATTAAACTTGAAAGAGTTACAAAAAATTTTGAAAGAGATCAAACAAATGTTAAAATAATTACTTTATTTCATAAATTTCATATTTTATTTAAAAATGTATACTCCACTTTTTAAAATTTTAATTTCTTTTTATTTTCTTTTATGCCATTATATTTATTTCAAACTATATTTGTAATTATTTTGTAACCCACACTCTTTCTTTACCTTTTAAAACCAATATATATTAATCATATAATTTTTCATTTTTTAGTTATATGCCACTAATCCATGTAACAAGAACAAGAAGACAAATCAAGAAATAATTTTCATTAATCTTAGTTAGAAGAAAACCTGGACTTAAATAATATAATAATTTTTTGACCAAAAAAAATCTTACATCACATTTTATATATCAAATTAAATACAAAAATGAACCGAGACTAGCAGTTTCAATTTTGCATTAGAAGTTACTTGTTTAAAATAATTTATATTTGTTATCTAAACATTTAAAAATTTACAATTACTAACAGAGTAATGATTAAAGAGTATATATCGCTAGTAAAATTTCTAATATTAAAACAGCAGGTTTTCCGAGTAATAATTCAAAACAACTTAGATTAAAAAAAATTTAGCTAAGGAACTTGGAACGCCGAATCGGAGAAGAGTACCCGAGAAGACTCTTGCTAGGGGTCAGTGCTTACAAGAATTTTAGTTGTATTTATTTCTAAAACTTTTCTTTTTTTATTACAAAAAATATAGTTATTCTCAAATAATTAAGGCAGGAAAAAGAACAAAAGGTATGATTGTTGGTTTTATTCTACTTATGAATATATGATATTAATTTCCAAAATATGATTGTTGGTTTTATTTGAAAAGATGCTCAACGTAAGGGATGATTTCAAAAATATGCCTTATAATAATATTTATGATGTAAAAAAAGATATGATAAGTTGCAGGGTAGTACGGAGATGCATAACCGGAGACCGGAGTAACTGAGCTTAGAACAAATTCACAATAACTAAGCATCAATTTGTGTTATCGTTGTTCCTTAAAGGAAGACTACAAATCTGAGTAAGGTTGAGTAAGTTTATTCAAATTAATGTGGCTAGAGTAACTTGATGCATTTGTATTGATTTTGGTATTACGAATGGTGTACTTTCAGTTAAAAAAACAAAACTTGAATTGTTTTGAAGCATTTCAACAGTAAGAATCTCAAAAATGTACAACTCTTATTTTAGAAATGGGGTAATTACCTAAATACGACTAAAACATAATGACTTTCTCAATATAGGACCATATGTTTTTATTTCCCAATATAGAATCATTGGTCATTATCTATTAGTCATTATTCAACTAAATGTCCATCATCACTTGGACATTATCTTCTCACTAGTCATTATTAAGTTCTATTTAGGAAATAAAAAAGTTTAAGTCCTACATTAAAAAATGACTTATGTTTTAGTACTATTCAGTGCAAATTTCACTTAGAAATAAGGTAAACGACAAACTTTAATTGAATCAAAGTCTTGATTAAATTGGTTTCATTGGGAAAGTGATATGATTGGAAATATGTCAAATTATACAATGTTGTGTAAAAAAAGTGCATCATCTTGTCTAAAAACAACAAAAACAATTAAGAGAATTTACCTAAATAAGACTAACACATAATAATTTTGCTGAATATAGGACCATATATTTTTATTTTACAATGTAGATCTATTGGTCATTATCCATTAGTCATTATTCAAGTAAATATCTACTATCAATGAAGATTATTCCCCCACTAGACATTACAAATTACTATTTAGGAAATAAAGAAATTTATGTCCTACATTGGAAAATGACTTATGTGTTAGTCATATTTAGTGCAAATATTTCTTGTAAATTTGGTGGTGGTGGGTTCAAAATGAATCAAATGTGATGGGAGGCGGGTTTTGGTAGCTGTTTCCGTGTTCAACCCGGAGGCGAACGAAAGTGACCCAGAGGCTGTACTCGCCGCCGGCGAGCCGCTAGACAAAACCCTCGGCCACTCCTTCTGCTATGTTAGGTCTTCAGCTCAGTTCGTCTCTCTTCCCCACTCAGATCGGCTTGTCTCGCCGTCACAGTCGCTCCAATTTGAGGAGACGGTTCCTCTAATCCCTAGACCGGCGGGGATCAAGGAGACAGGTTTCCGGGCAATTTCAGGGGCGTCTGTGAGTGCCAACACTTCCACTCCCAGAACTATCCTGCAACTTGACAATCTTTGCCACGACGCCACTTGTGCTGCTGATGGTAGGGTTGTTGGCTTTTCTGGCGCTGCAGGAGTTAAGGGCAGTGTGGTGGACGGTTTTGAGAACACTTTTTCGTTTTGTGCTCTGACTCTTCAGCCAGTTCCTCGAGGGGGAAGTGGCTATTTGTCGAGAGGGGTGCCCTCTCTGGACCACTAGACTCTGCCTCAGGGTCTGACTCCGGTGGAAATGGAGTTCCCCTTTCGGCTTCTCTAGGTGGTTCTTATTATCCTAGGAAGAGGAGGGGTATTCTGGGAATCCGGAAGGCCTTCTACAGGAATTTCTCCCACAAGAAGAGGCATGGGTTTTCCATGTTTGGAATTTCGCTGGACGCGAATCTGAAAAGAGCCATGGGAGTAATGTTCAGTGGGCATTAGGGAAAGCTGGTGAGGATCAGGTTCATGTGGTTGTATCTCAAGAACATGGATGGCTATTTGTTGGTATATATGATGGGTTTAATGGGCCAGATGCCCTTGAATTCTTAATCGGTAATATATACAAAGCAATGTACAAAGAACTCGAAGGTCTATTTTGGGTCAGTGACAAGACACAAGAAGCAACAAATGTAAGCTCAGAAAATAATGCAATTCCAGTGAATTTATACACTGATCCACCCATCAATGTCACATGCGAGCAGGGTAAAGAAGTAGACGAGGTTAACTTGCATGTGACTGAGAGTGGAAGACCAGCAAAGAAGGTGACATTCTACTGAGATTGAGACAAGGAGGAGAAGAATATGGGAATTTTTGGCTGAGGATGACACTGAGCATGGACTCGATCTTTCTGGCTCTGATAGATTTGCTTTTTCAGTAGAAGATGCTAAGTGTAACTAATGCAGGTTCTGCAGCGAGCAGTTTGCTGTCAAGGTTGAAACGCGGATGGTTGACTAAACACATAGGGAGCGAGAAACTGTTCCCCCGGAGATTTGGGTTGCAAGGTAGAGAGAAAGTGGAGGAGAATAGAGTGGAAGATGAAAGAACTATTAGAAATTAGAAACGTAAGATGTGTCCGATTGATCATGAACAGATTCTAAACGCAATGTCAAGAGCTCTTGAAGTGACTGAACTTGGCTACTTGGATATGAATGATAAGGTTCTTAACTGGTACCCGGAGCTTGCACTGATGGGTTCTTGTTTATTGGTGGTTTTGATGAGGGATGAAGATGTGTATGTGATGAATGTTGGAGACAGTAGGGCAATTGTTGCACAGTCTGACTCCAAAGAGCTTATTTCTAGCTCAGTGTCAAGGGGTCCATGTGATGAAGGGTTGACTGGGGAGGAAATTAGTGAAGAGTCAACAGCCAGCAATGTGGTAACAAAGGATAGGTCACGAATGAGGCTATTCTGTTGGACACGATTTTACTATGTGGCCTGAGTTATCATTTATCTAATTAATTGATCATTGACCTAATAAATTCCCTACGTATTTAATTGGTAGTTATTCGATGGACGTAATTACCCAAATGACCTAATTAGAGTTTCCCCTTGGGTGTATATATATAGAGGTCATTAGGCAGAGATTAACACACCAATCTTACGCCTCCTCTCTGCCTCTCTATTCTCGTGAGTCATCCTCACCTTAGCCATCATAACGATACACCCTAAACGGGAACTCAATCTGCGTGAGAATCATGACCTCATCCCTAACTACGTTTACAGGATTATCAGGTACACATGATTAAATCCCTAATTTATATTTTATGTTTAAGAATTGATCAACATGTGGTATCGGAGCGTTATGTTGATAAATCAATTCTTTTTATTTTCCCTGAACTGTAATGGGAAATTATGAACTTTGAAAATTCTGTTTGAATTGTTTTTTTGATTTAGATCAATAATGGTGTCTCCACAATAATTCACTTGTGGCTTTATTTTTCGTTCACTGCAAAATCGGAATAAGCTCAAAGTAATTGTTTTTTTAAACTTTTGATTCAATTCGAGTGAGTAAAATTAGTGCAGATCGCAGATCTAATTGTGGAGTTCCACCTAAATTTGCCATCAGTCTTTATTCTTTGTTTACTCGGTAATTCATAAGTTATAAAAAAAACCTACTGTTTAATGATTTTGATTCCACAAATTACGAATAAATAAATTAATCATGTTATTCTACATTCTTATTTTGATTTGGAATATAATTGTGTTTCCTTAAATTGTATGGCATATCTCACTTTTGCATGATATATTCTATTTCCTTATTTATTAATATATTTTACCAAGAATAGCAAAACTAATTAAGGGATATGCTAAAATACCATAAAAAATTTAAAATTTTACTTGTTCGAAAATCTCCTACCTTATATGTATTATGATTTTTGAATTAAATTAATCTTAATGGGTCCCCAATTTTTGTAGCCCCGCCCGAATCGCTATAACTTTTGTGGTTAATTAATTATTAATATTAAATTTATAAATCATTTGACTAATCTTAAATAAAATTTATTTTATGATTGGTTAAATTGATTTATTTTGCTTGACTTGAATAATACCTTAGAGTACACTTCTGCCCAAAGGTGATGTGTAACATTTGTGAAATTTATTTCAAGTCTTATTAAGCATTGTCATTTAGTGCATATCCTTAAATAGATATTTGCATGACACTCGCCTTAAATACATAATATTTCACTTCTGTCCAAAGATGATGTGTTATAATTATGTACTGCAAACTAAATATATATGTGCATTAAAATTTAAATGTTTCACTTCTTCCCAAAGGTGATGTGTTACATTCAAATTGCACATCATTATTTTATTATTCATAATACTTAAATAAGTGGTCATAACCAAAGTGAAAGCCATTTGTTTAAGTAGAATTAAATTTAGTCTATTATATATTTTGGTGTTATAATAAACTCTTATCACGGCTTCATTACTATATAATGGTCCTTATCTTCGCCAGCCTTAGTTCTTTACCCCTTAAGTTCTTCTTTAATTATGTGTCTTATTTCTCTCATCTGAATCCACTATCAGCCCCAAATATGGGAATTGAAACCTTGAACGGTGCGAATTTTTCTTCATAGAAAGATTCACTGATGCTAACTCTTGGCATGTTGGATTTTGATTATGCACTGAGAGAGCCTGCCCCTCCTGCCCTCACTGATAAAAGTACTGCTGAAGATAAAATAGTACATGAGAGATGGGAGAGGTGCAACAGAATGGCTCTTATGCTCATTAAAAATTCCATCAGCATAATCATCAGGGGAGCTATTCCAGATTCATCTAATGCTAAAACATATCTGGCTTCCGTGGAGGAACAATTCAAAGCAACTTCTAAGGCACATGCTAGTACTCTTATTTTGAAGATGGTGACTACAAAATATGACGGGAATAGCGGCATTCGTGAGCACATCATGATGATGAACGACATGGCCCGTAAGCTCNATTTTTCTTCATGGAAAGATTCACTGATGCTAACTCTTGGCATGTTGGATTTTGATTATGCACTGAGAGAGCCTGCCCCTCCTGCCCTCACTGATAAAAGTACTGCTGAAGATAAAATAGTACATGAGAGATGGGAGAGGTGCAACAGAATGGCTCTTATGCTCATTAAAAATTCCATCAGCATAATCATCAGGGGAGCTATTCCAGATTCATCTAATGCTAAAACATATCTGGCTTCCGTGGAGGAACAATTCAAAGCAACTTCTAAGGCACATGCTAGTACTCTTATTTTGAAGATGGTGACTACAAAATATGACGGGAATAGCGGCATTCGTGAGCACATCATGATGATGAACGACATAGCCCGTAAGCTCAAGGGATTAGACATGGAGATCAGTGAAGGTTTTCTAGTGCACTTCATAATGACTTCTCTTCCTGCATCTTTTGAAGTTTTCAAGGTCAACTACAACACCAGAAGGTCAAGTGGTCGATGAATGAGTTGATTGCTATGTGTGTACAAGAAGAAGAGCGTCTGAAGCTGGACAAACCTGATGTGGCTTACCTCATGACCTCTAATCAAAAGAAGAGGAAGGGCAATGTCGATAAGAAGGATGTTTCTAAAGTCCAGAAACGTGATGCAAGTGCTTCTTCCAACTCTAAGAACTCCAAAGGGAAGTGTTACTGTAAGTTCTGCCGCAAGGAAGGACATAGACAGAAAGACTGTCAAGACTTTAAGGAGTGGCTGACGAAGAAAGGGATTCCTTACAATCCATAAGCTGGAAAGAAACCGAAGAACACTTAAGCTGGGGAATGGAACAGAACTAGCTGTCGAAGCCATGGGAACCTTAGAATTAATAATGAAAACTGGTTTATGTATTAAACTTTATGATACCTTATATATTTCTGAGATTACTCGGAATTTAGTATCAGGACCAAAGTTAGACATAGACGGTTTTGATGTTTCTCATGGTCATGGCAGACTTACTATTAGTTTCAATTCTCAAGTGTTTGGTCATTCTCCAAAAGGTGAAATCGCTCACCCTGGGCGCCCCTCACCCCCGACCCGACAGGAATGTGAGAGGAGGTAAATCACGGTGACCCAAGCACAACACTTAGCTAAACCATATCCTGGTGCGCACCAGAGACTCCCCCCATTTTTCAGAGGTGGTCGCCTCCACAATGGTCGCTGCCAGGTTTCGATCCTTGGTCATTCTCCAAACTTCACCAAGTGTTTGCCACTTGAGCTACCCGTGCGGGTCTCAAGTGTTTGGTCATGGTTTTATGGATGGTGGTCTCTATAAATTAGAACTAGATGATGATTTTTCCAAATCTTTGTTGTCATATAATATCAATCAAACAATAACAAAGAGAAAAACGAAAACGAGACTTAGAAACTTCATCCATGTTGTGGCATCAACGCTTAGGCCACATTTCACGAGAACGTTTGTCTTGACTTGTGAAGCATGAGGTGTTACCATCTCTCGATTTCAATGATTTTGGAACATGTGCCAAATGCCTTAAAGGTAAAATGACATCAGTGAATAAGAAAGATGCCACTAGGAGTTCTAATTTATTAGAGCTCATTCACACTAACATTAGTGGTCCTACCTCTTATAATGAAGCCATTAACATTGATCAGTCTTCTGAATGGAGTAAAGCCATGATTGAAGAGCTTGACTCCATGAAGAAAAATGATGTTTGGGATTTGGTTGAATTAACCAACGGTGTAAAACCTGTAAGATGTAAATGGGTCTTCAAAACAAAACTAGACCCAAATGAAAACATTGAACGCTACAAAGCGAGATTGGTTGCAAAGGGATACACTCAGAAAGAGGGAATTAACTATCAAGAGACCTTTTCTCCTGTCTCTCGAAAGGATTCCTTAAGGATCGTTATGGCACTTGTAGCTCACTTTGACTTAGAGCTACATTAGATGGATGTCAAAACCGCTTTCCTTAATGGCGATTTGGATGAAGAAGTGTTCATGAAACAACCCGAAGGATTCAAATCTGAAGGTCAAGAGCACCTAGTCTGTACGCTAAAGAAATCCATATACGGGTTGAAGCAGGCATCACGTCAATGGTACCTAAAGTTGCATCAAGTCTTGAAGTCAGAAGGTTTCATAAAGAATCAAGTGGATCAATGCACCTACCTCAAGATGAGTGGGAGCAACTTCACTATACTTGTCCTTTACGTAGATGACATTCTATTGGCAAGTAATAGTTTAGACATGTTGCATGAGTCCAAGCGCTTACTCTCGCGTAATTTTGACATGAAAGATCTCGGAGAGGCTTCTTATGTTATTGGCATCGAAATACACCGAGATAGAGTCANTTCATGAAACAACCCGAAGGATTCAAATCTGAAGGTCAAGAGCACCTAGTCTGTAAGCTAAAGAAATCCATATACGGGTTGAAGCAGGCATCACGTCAATGGTACCTAAAGTTGCATCAAGTCTTGAAGTCAGAAGGTTTCATAAAGAATCAAGTGGATCAATGCACCTACCTCAAGATGAGTGGGAGCAACTTCACTATACTTGTCCTTTACGTAGATGACATTCTATTGGCAAGTAATAGTTTAGACATGTTGCATGAGTCCAAGCGCTTACTCTCGCGTAATTTTGACATGAACGATCTCGGAGAGGCGTCTTATGTTATTGGCATCGAAATACACCGAGATAGAGTCAATGGTATTTTGGGACTATCTCAAAAGGCTTACATTGAGCGTGTCCCTACACATTATAACATGCAACATTGCTCTCCTTCTGTGGCTCCAGTAGTTAAGGGAGATGTTTTCGGTTTATTTCAATGTCCGAAAACAGAGGTTGAAAAGGAACAGATGAGAATGATACCTTATGCGTCAGTAGTAGGAAGCCTTATGTATGCACAAGTCTGCACTCGTCCAGATATCGCTTACATTGCTGGAATGTTGGGTCGTTATCAGACTAATCCTGGTCTTGATCACTGGAAAGCAGCTAAGAAAGTTCTTCGATATCTACAAGGGACAAAATACTATAAACTGACTTACAGAAAGAGTGATAATTTAGAAGTGGTTGGTTATTCTGATTCTGACTTTGCTAAGTGCAAAGATGACAAGAAATCCACTTCAAGGTATATCTTTATGTTAGCTGGCGGACCTATCTCGTGAAAGAGTCATAAGCAAGAGTTGACTGCAACTTCTACAATGATGGCAGAATACATTGCGGTGTACAACGCAACCTGTCATGGGATGTTGCTTAGAAACCTCATCACTGGACTCAAAGTAGTTAATTCCATCTCTCGACCATTGAAGCTTTATTGTGATAACTCAGCCTCCGTTAGTTTCTCGAACAGTAACAGTTCGACTGGCGCTGCTTTATATCTTGATACAAAGTACTTGTTCGTACGTGAGCGAGTTGAAGAAAATAAACTTTGTATTGAGCATATAAGTACTAAAAATATGCTTGCGGATCCGATGACTAAAGGTCTCCCTCCTAAGATTTTCGAAGAACATGTTTCGAAATGGGGTTATCTAAAGACCTTATTTAGTTGCAAATTGTACTTGCTTACATTTAATAATAAAATTTCCTCATTGTTTTGTTTGTTTTGTCTCTGAATGTGTCTATGCATGCCTAAAGACATATAGACAATATTTATATACAAAATAATGCTATGGGCCTAATTGTCAGTTTGATCCTTAGCTTATTTAAGTTTTAAATTTGGTATTGTAGTATGATTAATGGGGGTCTTGAATTGAATATTTATTCAATGACTGCATTTCTCTGCTACAATTTCGGTTTAGAACTAAAATGAGTATTAAAATCTGATCAGACTTATCTAATGCTCATCATAAATGATTACTCGGCCAAGTGGGAGAATGTTGGACACGATTTTACTATGTAGCCTGAGTTAGGGCTGGACACGGTACCGGTTCGGTACCGTTTCCGCCGGTACCGAGCACCGTGACGACTACAGGGACGGCTTAACGGTACCGAGAACCGGCACCGGTACCGCCACATCCGGTC